GTGAGGATAAGAAAAACCGACACAAAAGCTTTCCGGTATAGAATAGCCAACGCAATTTCGTGGTCGGACGTTGTGTTCTCGATGGGGGTCGAACACCTCCATTTCCTTCGCATTTGATATTTAGCGAGCATATTTGCTATAATTCCTTGAACATTCACTCTTTGGAGTTTAAACTTGTAGGGTTTAAACCTTAAACCTTCAGTCCATGTTGGATGTGGATTTGCACGCGCAATTAATGTAGGGAAGTAGATGGTGATTGTGGTTGCCTCTGCATGTGGAAGTCAGGATGGTGAGAAGACTGTGAATGAAGAAGTGTGTTTCTTCATCGGAACGGACAGAGTGGGGGGGGGGGGGGGGGGGGTAGCGAGGAAGGCCTCGCCACACTATGCATGTATGTTCCAGTCTACTATAGGAATGCATTGGATATGATGATATCTATGGCAGAGGAAAAGACATCATCCTGCTGGCTAGCCGCGGCTGAACCGCGACGAGCCATTGCTGAGTCACTGCCGAACCTGTTTTCAACACAGGATGATTCAGATTGAAGGGTTCCCAAGGATGCAGTGGTGGTTTGGAAATAGCATAGTGTCTTTTTGTTCACATATACGAACGATTTTATCCTCTTCCCTTAAACTACCCAGTACATGGCCCCAGGCAACTGGAGAACCTGTTTTGAGCCTCTCCAAAAATTTTGGAGGCCGAGTGCCATAGATGAAATGAATTGGCGGTGGACGACCTCCGAAAGGGGCCCGCAGCCGATAGCTGGCATGTACTGGTGCTTTAAACCAGCATTCCACCCGAGGCTAAATGTATGAGCCTAAGTTTCAACAGAAAAAATTTTCAGAATTAAATAATCATTCTATAGTAAAATTACATTCTAAATTTTAAATTTTCATTTCATCTTAAAAAATGTCATTATAATTTTAAAATTTTCCGTCTTACTTGCAAACGTTCCTTCCAAGAATGGGATATCCCTTCTTATTTGAACTGCATGCTAGAGATAGAACGAAAGTCTGGATGAGTTCATGAAATATTTTAATTGGACTGTCATTCTAAGTAAGGATTTTCAGTCATAAATAGGTTAATCCAATATAAATTAGAAGATATTTGTTGTAGTGGAATAAAATTTCAATTAAAACATTTTATAAACTCGTCCAGACTTTCATTCCATCTTGAACAAATAGATGTAGTTGGAAAGGAAAACTCATATTTAGACGGAAACTTATTAAATAAAACTGAAAATTTTAGAATTGGACAAACATTGGAATGATAATTTATAAATATGCAGGATTTTTTTTTTATGGAATGTTTTTTCAACTTTCACTTTTCGTGGGAATTTTTCTGTTGTTGAATTTTGATGAGCCCGAAGGCCACCTCGTTTTCACTCACCTGCCACTCCGGTTGAGCTTTCCACAAAGGAAGCCTTGTATCTGGCCCACAACGAACGCCTGATACAGGAAAGGAGGGGGGGGGCAGCGTAGCAGCATAAGTCACCAAAACGAGATGACAAAATAATAAAGAAGGAAAACGGAAAAGGAAACAAGGGTTGAGGACATAGCATCCTTGCGTTGTAAGGAGTCCACCTCTCACATCTTCTGCTGTCTCACGGCTTCAGCTGTGAGAGGTGGACACTTTCTGCTGATGAGGCTGCCTCGTGACTCACACTTTAACCTGCCAGCAGTCTCCCAGTTGACAAGTAGACTGGGTAGGATCAACTCCAAGATCCGTTATCTCAGACATCCGTCGAACATATCAGCGCAGTCCTTTGACATAAAGGACATGTTCAGCCGATTGCCACATGCAGAGATTTTGAGGGCCCTACCGACATATACTGCTATTCTGCCAACCCTTTCCCTGAAAAAACCACTTGTAGTCCTCTATACTTCGGTCATTCCACAGGGGTCAGACCAGGTTTGCAGTTGACATTATAATTCAACCACTTAGATCCGTACCTAACTACTTGGTGCAAACATTGTTGGACTTATTCCTAGGTTATCAGAAAAACCTCGACCGCTCTGACTTGTTTCCACCTGCTTCGTCCTCAATACTTTGGTTTATACCATAGGGTCGAGCGCCCTGTTGTAAGGGGCGCCAAACCCGGTTCACAATCGTCATTGTAACTCAACCACTCGGAGCCGGACCTACCTGCCTGGCATGGTTGAACTTTTTCCTAGGCTATCAGAGTGGCCCTGACCACTTGGATCCTGACCCATGTGCTTGGGTGACGAGGCCAGCCAATAAATGAAGTAAAGAGAAAGGGGGAAAAAAAATGTAGCATACTAGTATTTTTTAGCTTATAGAGATTACCCAAATCAGGCCTTATCTTTAAATTTTGTGATGCTTTATTGTAGTAAGGTTGTCGGGAATAATCGAGGTTGAAACGGGATTTACCATTAGAAACAAAATTCTTTAAGCCACCAGTACACCGGCCAACTATAAAAAAAATTGTGGCCGTTAACGCGCCGCAACTTTAGGGGATTCGGGAGAGGCTTGGCATGGCAATGAGGCAGGAAGCTGGTGGCCCCATGGGAACCTCCCACAAGGACTGCAAGATGTCCTTGTGGTATGCAATGTGGAAACGCGCAGACAGTGGTAGGAAGGAGGGGAAAAACAAACAAAAAAGAAAACGGACGAGGAAAAAATAAAGATAAATCTTTTTTTTTTTTTTGGAATAATGTATTTGGCTTAACTTCTGCACCGCGTCATATGCATCTGAGGGCAATCACGTTCAGATGCTGGTTTCTCGTTTTCCTTTTTTTTTTTTTTTTTTTTTTTGAAAGAAGATTGTTGGTTGGTTTTTTCTCTCGCTCCCCGTGACAGACGGGGAGGATTCATTGCCTTCTCAACTCCCTGAGAGACTGTAACGTTGCAAATTCGAATCATGTATCTGGCTTGACTTCTGCACCGCGTCATATGCATCTGAGGGCAATCCCGTTCAGATGCTGGTTTCTCACTTCCCCTTTTTTTCTTTTTTTTTTTTTGGAAAGAAGATTGTTGGTTGGTTTATGCACTCGCTCCCCGTGACAGACGGGGAGGATTCATTGCCTTTGTTCCCAGAGCGACTGTAACGTTGCAAATTCGAATAATGTATCTGGCTTCACTTCTGCACCGCGTCATATGCATCTGAGGGCAATTCCGTTCATATGCTGGTTTCTCGTTTCCCCCTCTTTTTTTTAATTTTTTTCTTGGGAAGAAGATTGTTGGCTGTTTGTGCACTCGCTCCCCGTGACAGACGGGGAGCATTCATTGCCTCAGCTCCCAGAGAGACTGTAACGTTGCAAATTCGAATCATGTATCTGGCTGCACTTCTGTATGCAATTGCGGCCAGACTTGGATGAATCCGACTGCAATCACGTCCAGAGCTTTGCAAAGTGAAGGTTCTGATGTGAGCATGCCCTCAGCTACTGGTAGGGACAAAAAACAAGAAAGAGATTCGTGAGATTCCTAGTTTCACCAAACTTTTTTTTCCCTAGTTGAGGCCCTACTCATACTACAAAGTCCTGGACGTGACTGCAGTCAGATTTGTCCAGGTCTGGCCACATTTGCAGTCAGGTGCAGGTTGCCCTTGATACCACCCTACCTGTACGTACCATTGGTTCCATAAATGTAGGACAGATAGGGCGGCATCTACTTAGGTCCTTATGTTTGGGAATCACGTACGCAGCTCCAATACGTCCATTCCTGTCCCACTTGACAAACTTTTTTAGCCCAACGGCCAATACTTCCTCACGAACTTCCCTCAAAACTAACTCCTCATGCAGGTCAATGATCGTGTACCCGGGATTAACTACGAACATTTGCATCATAGCTTCGTAGTATGTTTTCGGGCACATGACCACGGTCTCCCCTGGATTCCGATCCAGAGAAGTAAGGACGAGCCCATCAAATCGCTCCCTCACTTCCAAAACCTCCTCCATGGTAAGGCAAGTCGAAAGACAATCATCACTTCCATAACACAATCAGTCAGCAACTAATCACCAATTGATGGCGGTTTCCCTCGCAAATTCTTCCAATTCTTGAAACCCATCTGGATTTCTGATCTCGGACAACTCAACCGATCAATCACCCTGACCTTTGGAATGTTGTTAGCATTGACTAACAAAGGGTTGTCAACGCTCTCCTTGCTTAATCGACAGCGCAATGGCAGGTCAACACATGTCGAGCTGCAAACGCTCGATGATTGTGCAAAAGTTCTCCAATCGTTCGGTTCTTTTCCCAAACAATTCGAGTCTTCTTACGTGCGCGTTTCAAGAAGCAGGTTCGCAACTCATTACCAGATCGTTAATTACCTTCCGGAGCTCGCCCAGGTTAATCCTATCATCAAATTTAACTTTCACCAACAAATCAGCACTGAGGCTAAGTTCATACTTTTCCCTTAACACTCGCGATAATAGTCTACGGAGGAACTTCCTTGTCGATTTCCTCGAGAAATCCTTAATGACCCTGTAACGTCGCAGTATCGAGCTCATACCCCAATTATAGATTTTTGCCAACGTTTTGGGGTTCCTCAGAATCAGTACCAATTTTTCCTTCAGGTACTTACATTTTGGTTTCCACGCAATTATGTGCTCGATAACAAAACTTCCCCATTCTCCAAAATCCCTTTACAATCCTTCAACGCAGAAGTCAACACCCCATGCCTCACCTTGGAAGACCCGAAAGTCCTCGCGATCTTCTTCCAAGGTGTGTGCCAGACATTACCCCCACTCGTGTAAAACTCAAAAGCATTCGTGCCCACCTTTTCATACTCCTTAAAAATTTCATAAAGATCAAGGCGCCACTCCGTTTCCTTCTGCACACGGATGCGCACCGGTGCGATGACCCTACTCCGGCCACTCCTATGTACATGCGACTTAGTATGTTCCTTCTTTCCTTTCTTACATTTTTTGCTCCTATTCCCGCCCAATTTTCTAACACCTTCTGTATTGAGGAAAGGTGACCATTGCCGAATATAGACATTCTCAAGTTTCCCCAAGTCGTCAACTCCAATACAGTCCACAGGAATCAGAACATATTTATTTGCACCGAATGCACTTAACCATCTGTACAGGTGATTCGGTTTTCGAGCACGACAAGCATACAGATGCTCTTTCCAACGTACATCTACATGTCTGGTTGTCTTACCAATATACTGTGATTTACAAAAAGGGGACACGGCCACGTATACACAATTCGAAATATTAACAAAATCAAGCCTAAATTGCTCATAGAGACGTATCCATGCACTAATACACTTCAGGTTCCATCGCAAGACTCCTGCCAACGACAGTCGTACAGTAGCTAGCCGAAGCACCTCCTCAACTCCCGCATCTACACACTTGTTCACCCCCCTCCAACGTGTAAGGCAATCAACGATCTTCCAAATGTCCGAGATCTCGAAGCCTCTTCACTCCATAGCATCAGGTTCCGTGGCCACCACCACCGGATCCTTCTCCTCATATTTTGGTTGCTCTTCTTCACTCTCCCCGTCAGTGCCATAGGCCATACGAGTACGATGGGCCGCAATGTTAAATATTGCTTCGAACTTACCGTTGTAAGGAATGCCTTCCTCCTTACATGTGTTCTGCAAGACGAGCGCATCCAGGGCCTTCAGCTCTTGCATTACCTGCTTTTCGAACTTCAGCCTTCCGACAATCCCTATGGAAGCTAGGATCTTCTTCTTACGAATCGAGGCCGGCATCTTCCTTGGCGAAATGGTCTTCGTATCATTCTTTGCTTTCGATTGTGTGACACGAGATGTCAAGTTAATTGCCCCCCCCACCTTCCTCGCTGTTCATTTTGGTGGTAGCTCCATGGGTGGGCTCCCCTCGAACACTGGCTCCTCACCTCGTTTTTGCTTCTCGTTGATGCAGAGCTTCCGAGTCTTCGCGCTTAGTTCTTCAGTTTCGCTGCTACTCGCGATGCTTTCCGACCTAGTTGGTGTCAAGCTCCCTACCTTCTGTTTACCCTTCGCCAACACTCCAAACAACTGATTTATTGCTTCGCGAATCTCATACTTCATGTCCTCTCGCACGTCCTCACGTAATTCTCCCACCCTTACAGCCATCTTGATATCCAACTTCTTGTTCATCTCCTCAGTTAATGCAACATCCTTCCTTTCCTTTTCCTCCTTCTTCTTCTTCTTACGATCAATCTCCCGTTGTCTCGCCTCCTCCGCTTCCGCAGCTTCCTTCCTCTCTGCTTTTTTACGTTCCTTGGCAGCCTTCTTTTGCTGCTCGTTCTCCACGTACTGACAGACTGCTGCCACACTCTTACTGATCTCAACTACCTTCACCTGCAGAGGATCGTGCGTCGGTACTATCCGATGGTACCCTTGCTCCTGCCTCCTCGGGGATGCTGAACGAGCATGCCTTGAATCAACAGAGCTCGATGGTCCATATCGTGTATTCCTTCGAGGGTGTGGGCATTGACTTGCGTAATCCCCCAACTCCTCGCAATTATAACACGTCATCGGTACTCGTCTCGGGCCACTGCCATACCCGCATCTATTTCTGCCATAGTCTCGCGATTCCCGACAATCACTGTCGTAACCCCGTTGGTCACCTTGGTCACCCCCCCCGCCTGTCTCCGTATCCTGACATCTTGTATTCCTCCTCGCTATTCCCCGGAAAACTCTGCTCGGGTCTTCTTTACAAGCGTCTCCTTGATGATCACGTCCCATATACGCCATACTCGGCACCTCTATGTAATTACAACAGTATCGTCACCAGATGTTCGTGCTCACTTATCCCAATAACCTTGACTCTAGGACAATTCACACGTGCATTATACAGTATCTGTATAAGAAATCACACTCACTTAGAGCAAGTCAACACATGTAGGCACGTGAATGACAATGATAGAAAGAACTCAAAAGAAATTACGGTGAACAAACTGACGTTCCTCAACCCTGTGAACGATCATAACATTCCGGCAATACCCCCGTTCACTATCACCTGCGTTCACTTAGAGTTCGCGAATGGCCGTCAACGCTAATTTAGCGTAGGTTGACAGTGAGCGCCCATAAGAGGACTAATGAGTATCTTCAATCACTACAACAGAAAAATTACCACGAGAAATGAAAGTTGAAAAAACATTCCATACAAAAAAAATCCTTCATATTTATAAATTATCATTCCAATGTTCGTCCAATTAGAAAATTTACAGTTTTATTTGATAAATTCTCGTTTAAATATGAGCTTTCCCTTCCAACTATATATATTTGTTCAAAATGGAATGAAAGTCTAGACGAGTTTATGAAATATTTTAATTAAACTTTCATTCTATTACAACAAATATCTTCTAATTTGGATTGAATTAACCTATTTATGACTGAAAGTCCTAACTTAGAATGACAGTCTAATTGAAATATTTCACGAACTAATTTAGACTTTCATTTCATCTCTAGCATGCAGTTCAAATAAGAAGGGATAACCCATAATTGGAAGGAAAGTTTTCAAGTAAGACGGAAAATTTTAAAATTGGAATGACATTTTTAAAGATGGAATGAAAATTTAAAATTTAGAATGTAATTTTACTATAGAATGATTATTTAATTATGAGAAATTTTTATGTTGTAATATAGTCCTACATGCGACAATTTTTGCCGCTCCGCAGGTGTTCTATCCACGTGAAGAGCCATTCTAGAAAAAACTAGTCCCTACAGCACGTCAGTTACGCTCACCTAAGACCTCCTGTTCCAAACCGAAGGTGCCTGGTTCAAGTCTACACTACCGAAGATCGAAACAAGTTCACCGCACACAAGAAAACAAACAAAACAAAACAAAGGGTCCCTGGTTCAAAACCCAAGCACCCTCAGAATTCCTGACAACAATAGGATCAACAGACTTCTTAACGTTCAGGTGTTGGGTTCAACTCCAGATGTATAAGAAAAACCCTGTCCAAGACTAGGTCATGTATGGGGATATGGGAACGGGTCACGGTTGAAAAGGGTGAATGGATATGACCACAAAATCATATGTGGCATTCATGGCAATAACAGCGCCAATGCAATGTAGTGGGAGTAGGTGATAGGAATTGCGACACCTCTGAGCGGCTACGTACGCAAAGCATCTCTGGACTAGTGGTAGAGGACATGGTTGCCCCCTAGTGCAGAGCCATATCGAGGTACTACATGGAGTATCCAAGGCACACGCAAAGCATTTTTTTTTCTGTTTTATAAATACTTTACTGATCAGCTGTACTTTTAAAACAAATGAGGCAAGTGTGTGTTTTTAGGGAACAAATTGTATTAATGAATATATAAATACACAAAGTGTTTGAATCCATATAACACCCACTTACCTTTAACTTTCAAACTTATAATTTTATTTGGAAAGTTTTTAGGCTACCAGAGTGGTCCGAGACCACTTGCCCGGCCGGGCAAAAAAAAAAAAAAAAAAAAAACTAGTTTTTAAGTATCTTTTATTTTAAATAAGGTAAAGAATTTTGATGTGACCCCCGAGAAAAATGTTATTCAGTTTATTTTTTTGCATAAGATAGTTATTTTTCAAAAAAAAAGATCTTTTTTTTTTTTTTTTGTCTTGGACCTTCTCTGGTTCTTGCACGGTCGGGCTGCCCGGGAATACACGTTGACCCAGGCGGCCCGACAGGTAACCTATGAATGCAAGTACACATTGATATATACACCAATAAAAGTTGTATCAAATCAGATCTACATCAAAAAATTAAGAAATAACATGTCGATGCTCAGGTGAGAACTGTATCCCTTAATAAATAACATATTAACAATCACACTGTACTATACTCAAAATTAACGCTACATTCATCTCCTACGTTGAACCATAAGGGTAATGCAAAAGTATGTACTAAAATGATAAAGAATTAATTATCTCATTCAATGTTTTATTTAGGGAGCCTTACGAACCGTAAAAAGTAAGTTAGACAAAAAGGAAATTAAAGTCGTTTACGATATAGAGGTTCATTTACAAAACTCCATAAATATGTTTTTTTTTTATATAAATAGTATCGTAAAGTAATAAAGGTTGCATTTGAGTATCAAATATATATACATATATACAGGGTCACCAACCCGTACGTACAGAGGTCCCCGGGAAGACCTCCGTACGTACCGGCGTTCGGGGCCCCGTACGGGGTCCGAACCCAAAGGCATTCGGCCCCCGCCAAAAACTATATTGGGGCCTAAAAAAATATATGTTTTTCTGAATTTTGTTTCGTGAGTTCTCTATGAAGTGAGGTACATGTCTATCTATTTTGACGTCATTTGGCTCAGCCAAATAAGAATTAAAAATCGCCAAACATGGTGGTGTCAAAACATGCTCTCCCATATTGTTTTTCACTTTTTACTTTTTGTTTTCACTTTAGTTCGGGGTCTAAACAATTTTATTATTTTTTGAAACTTTTTTAGTGGGTTTAGTATTATGTGAAGTATGCATCCGTAAATTTTCAGGGTATTTAGCTATGCCAAAAAAAAAAAAAAATCGCCAAAGATGGCGGTGTCGAAGACGTGCTCCCTCACTCACTAAATTTAATTCTTTTTTTCTTTTTCGTTATTTTTACTATTAGTATTTGTTCTCCGTATTTTATTTTTATTTCAAATTTGGTAAGGAATTTGGATATAATGCTCACGCTAGGGTAACCGGCGTTTAGGACGGGCCGAACGCCCGAACCCGAACGCCCGAACCCGAACGCCCGAGCGTATGGGACCCCTTGGGGATGCATTCGGTCGTTCTGGCCGAACGCAGACCCAAAAAAAAAAAAAAAAAAAAAAAAAA